GTTTTTCCATGAGCACTAGAGGCTGGGAGAGCGGCTGCTGCCACCTGGACACAGAAGCCTGCAAAGCACAGCCTCGTCACGAACCCTACCAGGGCATGGAGTCTTCACTCGGAATCTTCTGGAGTGGAAATGCGGGGTGACGAGGGCTTTAGCAGCCTTCCCTTGGCAGCTCGCCCTGCCAGCTCCACTGCCCTCAGGCAGGCTGCTGACACAGTTCTTGAGAGTGCCAGGGTTGGAGACGAAGCTGGAAAAGAGGATCTTGGATCCCTTTTCACAGGAAAGAGTAAAACATCTAATAAATCCTCTCTGTGAACACAGAGGGATGAGGCGGCAGCTGGACAGAAGTAACACCAGAATGCTCAATGGCTACTTGCAATAGGTGTGAGGTGGAAAGTCTCCACGTGCTTTGTATTTTGCTTTCCGTAATCTCAAATCTCTCTACAATGAAGGACGGAGTTTAATCACTGAAAACTTTCATTTGAAAAAAATGTTTACTCAAGCAATGTTAAATTTATATTCTTAATTCCATTTTTTTCATGAACGTTCCAAAGTTCCTTTGGATAACTCATTTTTGTGGTGTGTTATACGTATGCTTGGACATATAATTCTTGTTGTCTTCATAAAAATAAAATCTTACGGTACATAATGTCTATACCGGGACAAGTTGCTACACCTCTAGTGGCCTTGGCTTACCCATCTGAGAAACAGAGCTAATAATGCGTGCCTTGCAGGGTTGCTGGAAGAATTAAAGGAGACTAGGAATGTAAAAGGGGTCTAGGAGCTGATCAGCAATAACAGCTACTATATGGTTATCCCTGAAGTCACTGACAGAGCATCCTCCTCTCTACAGTTCTGGGAATACGAGTGGCTGGTTTTCAACAAGCTAACAAAAGGGCCAATCAAAACTGCCCAAATAAAGGAATGCTAACCTTGTGCTGTCTGGCCTAAGTTTGGCATAGGGACTGCACTGACTCTCCCCACCACACCTACAGCGAACCACTGTGCCCCAGGGCGTTCCTGGCAGAAGCAGAGCGGGGAGAACCATGGGAGGGTCTCCTCTAGGGCACTCAGAGATTGCCCTCTGAGCACTGCGGGACTGTGGTGAACGCGAGGGGAGCGGGGGCTGTGTCTCTCTTCTCAGGAGCAGGGGTAGCATTTTCTTTATTGGGCATGAGCCTAGGAAGGTGCAGAAGTCTACTAGGGGAGAAAGCAGGCAGCAGGTTCTCTGTGCCCAAGGGGACACTCTGTGATTCTGTCTCGGAGGTCATATGGCCCCTTGCTGTCTTTTTTTTTTTTTTTTTTTTTTGACATTTATTTATTGAAATTCAGAGTTAGAGAGAGAGGGAGAGACAGAAAAAGAGATTTTCCATCTACTGGTTCACTCCCCAAATGACTTTGGCTTGGCCAAGACTGGGTCAAGCCATAAGCCAGGAGCCTGGAACCCTATCTGCATCTCTCACGTGAGTGGCAGGGGCCCAGGTACTCGGGCCATCTTCCACTGCTTTCCCAGGCGCATTAGTAGGGAGCTGGATCAGAAGTGGAGCAGCAGGATTTGAACCACCAGCTTACTCTGCTGCACTATGCCAGTCTCTGCTTCTCTCGTTTTGTTTTCTCTCTCCCCTTCCTCGGGGGTGAGTTCTGCACCTTCTCCCCTCCAGCTCCTCTTGTCTCCTTCTTCCTTCCTGAGTGTCAGCATCTGCCTCTGCCTCTGCCTCTGCCTAGCTGGTTTTGGAAGTTCAGCCAGGACACTAAGTGCAAGCCAAGGTTGAGATTAAGGAAAGGGATACTGGAGCACAGTCGTGGGGAGGGGGAGGTGGTGAAAAGTGGAGTTTAACGATACCAGGAGGGCAAATGTCAAGGAGGGTCTCTCTATGCCCAGAGTAAGTCAAGGGCTTTGGATAGACCCCCAGGGTCAAGGGGGAAGGAGAAGAAAGGCACTGAGGAACAGGCCTTGGGACAGGAGGAAGGCAGCTGTGAGAACACGGGGCAGTGGTCTCTCTTCTCACCAGAATGGGGCAGGCTCGGGGAGCCCAGCTCTAGGTCAGGTGCATGGTTGGAAAGTGAGGGTTTGGTGATGACTGTGGACAGAGAGCAAGCTGAGGTCCAACAGAGCCACTCTAGTGCCTGCCCTCTGCAATGGCGTCCATGCTTGCTCCAGCAGAATCTGCCACACACGGAGCACATAAGATGACACGGGGGTGTCCAGGGTGGGAGCCAAGGCCAGGAGAGCAGGTGCCTCCAGGGGACAGGTGGGAAAACCCTGGGACAGTTCCTCTCTCGGGCATCTCAGCAGCTTATAGGAATAATCTGTTTGTGAGCCTGTCTTCTACATTCAATGTGGGAGTCCCCTGCACTGTGCAATGGGCCTGAGACACAGCATCAGCAAACATTTGCTGACACTGCAAAAGCTCACCAAGGTCCAGAGCAGACAGGAAGATAGAAGCCGAAGGGGGTTGGAGAAGGGGCAAAAGGGAGAGGGAGTGATGAGGGAGTGATGAAGGAAGGAGAGGGTACAGACATAGAGGGGAGCGCGAAGGTGAGAGGCCAAGAAGGAAGTCAGAATTAGAGGGGAGGGCACTGTGGTGTAGCAGGTGAGGTGCCAACATCCCACATGGGCACAGGGCCAAGTCTTAGCTGGTCTACTTCCCATCCAGCTCCCTGCTAATGTGCCTGGAAAAGCAGAGGAGGATGACCCAAGTACTTGGGTCTCTGCACCCACATAGGAGACCCAAAAGAAGCTCTTGGCTCCTGGCTTTGGACCAGCCCAGCTCCAACTGTTGAAGCCATTTAGAGAGAGAACCAGTAGATGGAGGATCTCAATCTGTGTGTTTTTCCCTCTCCCTCCTCCTCTCTGTAACTCTGCCTTTCAAATTAATAAATCTTAAAAAAAAAAAAAAAAAAAGAATTAGAGGGAAGAACTTGAAGTCAGAGAAGTGGGCACCAAGAGAATCACCAATGGTTAAAGGACACAAAGTGTGTCCCCCTGCTGGAGGGCTGACTGCCTTTCAGGCCATAAGCTGCTTTTGTACAGATGTTATCTTATTTCATCCTGGAAACAACGTGAGGAATCAGGTCCGGTGTTTTTAGCCTTCTGTAGATAAGGAGGGAAATGGAGAGAGGTGAGGTCACTCTCTGTAAGCGGCATAGCTGGGCAGCAAAGGAGCTGGGGCAGGGTCTCAGATGTCCTCTCTCAGCCCCACCCTTGTTGGCAAGGGGGTGACCTCCCCTCAGACGACAATGGACAGCCACTGTGAGCCCAGGGGGAGGAGCCGGAGGCCAATCGCATGGCTGCTGGAACCTCTGAGGAAGGTGGGGAAGGGAATGGAGAGGGGTGGATGTCAAGACAAGCAGGTGACAGTGACAGGGAGAGGAGTCCCGGGTGCTGTACTAGGAACCGAATGGCAGGCGGAAGCATCACCAGGCCATGATCGTGGGGACGGCCGTCTGATAGTTTGGAGCCTGGAAGCGGCAGAACAGCTTCCACGGAGCGGTCAGCACTCCGTGAATTCTCAATGGCAGAAGAGATGCCTGGGGACCCGAGAGCGGGGAGGGTCAAGGAGGGGCCCTGTGGTGCAGACGCTCCCCCGAGGACAAGAAGCCCAAGTATTTGATGTAATAGGGTGAATTGGCCTTTTCTGTCGGCAAACAGCTCAATATCTCCTCCTTCCTCCAGAAGAGATGGGAAATAAAATCAAGACCAGCAGCACCTGGACATCACCACTCACTGAAAAACAAAAAGTCTCCCAAGTCCAGGGAGATGGAGTGAATAACCACCTGATGGACTGAGAAGAAATTTAAAGTAAGCCAGGGCTACATCTTCCATGTGGCGCGATACACATGGCCTCCTAAGAGGTGGGAGAAAGTCATGGATAAGACCCTTGCTGAGAAAAACACGGAACCCAAAGAGAACTCGGCCAATTCCCTGAGCGTCGGGTACCAGATGGGGCCTGCTGACTCCCCTCAGGTGGTCCTGAGCCGTATCTTTGCAAAGCCTACCAGCCCCGCACATTCCAAGTGGCAGTGCCTGTGGAATGACTGGACACCCGAACCTTCCGAGTGAGATGATTACAAAGCAGGCTGGGGATCCCAGCAAGGACTTCAGCCGACCTGGACTCAGTAATCAGTCTGACCCAACGGCAAACGTCCCTCAGCGACAGGGCTGTGACCCCCCCTCCAATGGGTCCCTTTTCCCCTTGTCCAGCAGGTAGGAAGCACCGTCCCTACACACCCATGGGGCTCCCTTATCACGTTCTGCTGACCTGAGCTGTGTAGAGACAGCGTCTTGAATCGCATGACCCTAGAGAGAAACGGTTCCCCAGGAAAACGGGTCCTGCGGTGGCCGTGCAGTCTTTCCCGGTCATCTACTGCAGGCAGAGTGGGAGCACCATCGGAGCACCTGCCACGGGCCAGCTCTCCCGCACGTCCCCTTCCTCCCGCTCCTCAGCTCCGCTCTACGTGTGCAGTGCACAGCTTCACTGGGCTGATGGGGAAACAAACGCTCAAGCCTCGTGACTGAGTCAAGGGGTAAAGCTGACGCCAACGTCTTTCTTCCTTCCACTAAAACGTGTTTCACTGAGGAGCAAGATTCTCATTGACAAACAAATACAAACTTCTAAGGGTTCTGAAGTCTGCCTTGTGCTCCCAAGCATAGCTGAGCGCCAGCCTTACAGAGCGTGCCAGGGAACGGCTGAGACTTGAAGACCTTGGGGGTCGCAGCGGTTCCTGTCAGCAGTTTCCAGTCTGTCTTAGGGGAAGCAAAAAGCTGACAACTCCTTGTGCTCTGGTTTCCCCAAAGTTGAGAAATGGGAGAAGCATCACCTACTCTCGTGATCTCTGAAGAATGTCTCCACACAGACGAAGCTGTGAGGAGGCAACAGGGCCACGCAGTCGGGCAGTCCCAAATCCACGCCGGACCGAAGCCGGTATTTTTAGTCTGCAGTCGTCAGCTGCACACAGTCACAGCGCTAACATTCCCGGGGGGAGGACGGGGGCATCCTTACCAGCAGTAGTCGAGCAGATGAGGCGGCAGCACGGGGATGTACACGTGCTGCCAGTACATGGGGTAGAGCATGGCGGCCGAGCCGTGGATGCAGGCAGTCAGCTGCAAAGGAAGCAGAGCAGAGACTCAGGGCTGCGACCCGAGCAGGGGGCGCTGCCGCAGGGTTCCACCAGCAAGACTCAACGCGTGCGCATCAGCGTGCTTACCATCTTCACAGGCTGCTCGAGCTAGGAGTAATTTTGAGTTAACCACTCTAATCCAAACTTAATAGGAGCTTTCTCGTGCAAAAAAATCTATATTATTCCCCTGCTTATGAAGCTGATACATACTTCTAGTAGAAACCTTAGAAAGTGGAGGAAAGGATAAAAGGAAGTAAGTCCACACCCTGTGAAGATTATTTACCATCATACTGTATCACACACTGAAGTACTTCTATCTCCTTTTCTATTTTTATTTTATTTTTATTTTTTGCCAGGCAGAGTTAGACAGAGAGAGAGAGATAGAGAGAGAGTTATAGACAGTGAGAGAAAGATAGAGAGAAAGGTCTTCCTTCTGTTGGTTCACTCCCCTAATGCTGCTACAGCTGGCGCTGCGCTGATCCGAAGCCAGGAGCCAGGTATCTCCTCCCGGTCTCCCATGCGGGTGCAGGGCCCAAGCACTTGGGCCATCTTCCACTGCCCACCCAGGCCACAGTAGAGAGCTGGACTGGAAGAGGAGCAACTGGGACTAGTACCCAGTGCCCCAACCGGGACTAGAACCCGGGGTGCCTGAGCTGCAGGTGGAGGATTAGACAAGTGAGCCACGGCGCCAGCCTTCTATCTCCTTTTCTAATACAACTCAGATGCAGTGTTCTTTCTATGCCTTTAAAAAATTTAACCTTACATGGTACCATTCCCCTCAACTTAAACATTCGTAAAAAGTAGTACTTTTGGGGCCAGCATTGTGATATAGGGGGAAAGCCGCTGCCTGCAATGCTGGCATTCCATATGGGTACTGGTTTGAGTCCCAGCTGCTCCACTTCTGATCCAGCTCCCTACTAATGTACCTGGGAAAGCAACGGCAGATGGCCCAAGTGCTTGGGCCCCTGAGCCCACGTGGGAGACTGGAAGAAGCTCCTGGCTTCAACCTGGCCAACCTCTAGCAATTGTAGCCATTTGGGGAGCAAACCAGCAGATGGAAGATTCTCTCTCTCTCTGCCTCTAACTCTTTCAAATAAATAATATAAATCTTTAAAAAAGTACTTTTTAATGATACTCAATGGATTTCTCACACTACATTGAAGTACTCTTCTATCATGACAGTATATAACCACACCAGGTCAACGGTTTTTATACATGGTTCCTAGATGTAGAACGCAGAGACTAAGTTCATAAATATCTTAAAGCACTTAATAAATATGATAATGTGAATTTCATAAACATTTACATAACAAAGACATGAAGGACAGAGCCTCTTGACACTCTAGTCTCGCACACCACAACACTGGTCTTCCTGCTCCTCACCAGCACAGAACGCTAAGTTAGTAGCTTTAAAATTGAATCTTACTGTTCTATTTATTCCCTTCCATCATATATTTCATGACTATACTTCTTAGGTGTTCATATTCTTAGCCAACTTAGTAAAACTGAGGATTAAGGATATTTTAAATTGTTATTATTGATTTATAAGCAAGCACTGATGACCTGCCAAGGTTACCAACCCTTTGTCGTGTTTTTGAAAATAATCTACCCTTAATTTTCTTTGGATTTCTGGGTGAAGAGAAGGCTTAAATAATTACACAGACAAATCTTTTCCTTTGCAATGATTTCCACTGCTTTTATCCTAAGAAAGTCCTCTAAATGTTACCCCAGCATTTAACTCTTTAATCCATCTGGAATTAATTTAGATTTAGGAACTGAGGTGAGAATTTTTTTTTCAGTAGTTAATCAATCGCTCTGTGCTGTTTACTGCTTCACCCTTCCTCTTCCTGTTCCTTTGACATGCCCCTATTTTGTAATCCTTTTTCCCCCCTCTTAACAGCTAGAGCTATCACACAATCAGTATTCGGAACAATTAAAAATGTAGGAGATGAAGATAACACAGAGAGATACAATTGCTACAAAATTCAATACGGTGAAAAGGAAGGAAAAGAAAATCTAAGCTTTGGAGATTCGGCTATGAAGTGACAAAAGCCAACAACACGTTTCCTTCTGTCTCTTCCCTTTAATGTTCCTCTGGTTTCTGGGAAGCCTGTTCCCAGGAGGACTCTGCTTCTTTTGGAAGCTGTTAACTGGCCTTTGCTGACAGAAGGACATTTACGCGGCGCAAGAGTGACGTGCCAAGGCCCAGTTAAAAGAATCCCAGAGGTTAGTGTAACTTGAACAGCTCTGCACTGGAGAGTCTGCTGATGTTTCACAGTTGTGAGGGCTGTGTGTTAAAGACAGGGCGCCAGACCCCTCTTCACGGCCCCCTTCCCCCTCCAGACGCTGGTCTTCAAATCAGGTACAGCCACAAACAGGAGCTCAGCCAGCAAGTGCTCAAGAGCTGCCCAGCGACTCGGCCAGTGCCTGGAGGGTGAATGCATGCTCTCTCCAAATCCATTTTGGGAGGTTCCCATGGAAAGGAGGCTGTCCCACAAATACACGACTCATCCCTTTAGGGCTTCTTAGACTTGAGAATTTCTTGATGGTGCTGAGTGGATGGAGAGTGAACCAACTTCACCTCAACTCCACCCAGAAGTCGGGTTGGAGATCACATTGGCCCTGGGCCCCAGCACTGTCCTCCTCCATTAAGTAGTGGCAAGAGTGCCCTTCCGGGGCGCAGGCCCAGTCATGCCACTTTCTTCAGGACCATGTCTGCGATGGGATGTCTCCACCAGCTCCCAGCCACCTGCAGAGCTGTATCTCCACCCACAGTGTCTACCGTGTCGCCTCCGTGTTCATCCTTGGAATGAATCACTTGCAGACTTAGGGACTGTCAGGGATGCCTTTTCCTCCCTTCTTGCTTCCCACTCATCCTCTAAGTGGCCAGGACTTAGGCCCCTAGGAGAACCCCCCCCCCGCCAAGTCTCTGCACAAGCTCTCCCTTCCTCTCCCGAGCCTTGCGGGGCTCCCTTGGGCATATGGCCTTGTTACTAGCTGGACTGCAGTCTACATTTTGTCCCCTGACTGTGGAGTACACACAGACTCCGCCCATCTTCACCTCTGGGTTCTCAGAGATAGACCTCTGTAAGTGCCAGTGCATGTGATGCATACTGAATAGACAATGAAACAGTCTACAACTTTTTTTAGAAGTGAATTATTGCCGGCACCGCGGCTCTCTAGGCTAATCCTCCACCTTGCGGTGCCGGCACACCGGGTTCTAGTCCCGGTCGGGGCGCCGGATTCTGTCCCGGTTGCCCCTCTTCCAGGCCACCTCTCTGCTGTGGCCAGGGAGTGCAGTGGAGGATGGCCCAAGTACTTGGGCCCTGCACCCCATGGGAGACCAGGAGAAGTACCTGGCTCCTGCCATCGGATCAGTGCGGTGCGCCGGCCGCGGCGGCCATTGGAGGGTGAACCAACAGCAAAAGGAAGACCTTTCTCTCTGTCTCTCTCTCTCACTGTCCACTCTGCCTGTCAAAAAAAAAAAAAAAAAAAGTGAATTATTTATTTATTTGAAAGGCAGAGTTACAGAGAAGCAGAGGCAGAGAGAGAGTGAGAGAGGTCTTCCATCTGCTGGTTCACTCCCCAAATGGCCGCAATGGCCAGAGCTGCGCCATCCAAAGCTCGGAGCTTTTTCTGTGTCTCCCATGTGGGTGCAGGGGCCCAAGGACTTGGGCATCTTCTACTGCTTTCCCAGGCCATGGCAGAGAGTTGGACCTGAAGAGGAGCAGCCAGGACTTGAAGTGGCATTCACATGGAAAGCCTACACTGTACACAGCGGCTTTACCTGCTACATCACGGTGCCGGCCCCCAAAACATTGTACTTCTAATATGTTTGCAAAATAAAGATAGCCATGTACCAAGTACCACAGTACTGGTACCAAGATCTTCATGAGTCTCACAGAGTGGGGTATCTGACTTAGACACACAACTATGTTAGGAAAATCAAGTTATTCATTCATTCATTAATATACCTAGTTCACATCTCATACAACACATGAAATAAATAAGTAAAAGCATCTCAAAATGAATAAGGTGCCTTGCAAAGGTAAGGTAACATCAGCACACAAACTCATTCACAATTCTCTTTGAGGAAAGCCTTCAGCAGAATGTTCCTGCTTGAGACTGAACTTGATTACCTGCCCACCCCCCACCCCCCACCCTGCCACGGCTTAATTTGGTTTGGGTCCAAAATCCTATTTCAACCAATAAAGCAACAGAGACCTTATCTTCAGTGATCTTTTTATGTCTCTAGCCTCAAAACAAAAGAAAAAACAAACATCAGTCTACGTAATTGCCATTTTTTCTAATATTACTTCATCTTCAGTTAAAAAAAAAAAAAAGATACAAGCTTTAAGATGTGTTTAAGGACCAAATCTGCAATTGAGGTAAAATACTTTCACCTATTTGATCAAGAAAACAAACAAAAAGAGGTAATTGTTTGGCTCTTAGCCAAAATCCTAAATGTACAAACTACGTGCTTTGTTATTTAAGAACTGTGGCTAAGTTGATTATGGCAGCAGTCTTAATGTATATCTATGTTTAACCAGGAATAATGTATTATATTCCATTCTGGATTACTGGTCACTTCTTTTAAAGAATCACTCTAAAATCCACTTCTAAAAATCAGAGTTCTAAAGGCCTTTGGTCATTCCTTGCAGAAGACAGAATTTAAAAGTAATGAATGTATACAATTTGGAGTGTAGTCAACAAAAGGGTATTGTGAATATTTAATTGAAGTGCAAGTTGAGGAAAATGATCCTATCAAAATCTCACTCAGTGGGAGAAAAGAAAGATAGTATGTGTAAAATTTGCCCAAAGTCATTAGTCACAATGAATATTCATCAGAAGCCAATTATCAATCCCACTTAATGACACCCCAAAAGATTTTGCCCTGAAGCGGCTTGAATAGTCTAAGACTCCAGACAAAAATAGACAAATTATCCAGCCACCAGCCAGTCTAGCCAGGACACGAACTATAAA